GTAACAACAACGACTCAACTTTAAAACTTAATACAAAACTCGATTGATGTCTGAATCAATTTCTGTAATGTAAAAATATATTCCAGTTCTAGCTTGCCTTCGTTAAAATCAAACTTTCACAGTACAAGAAATTAAACAGATGGTAGACAAATTTAGTATTTCAGTGGCTAGAGTTGCCAGGATAGAGGACAGTTGGTTTAAAGACATTTACACTGATATATGCAGTTACAGCAGAGGTATTTCCAGCCAGAGCAGCTGAAAGAGGAGAATTTAAACATGAACGTGAGTTGAAAAGTGACTTTTCTTTTTAATTTTCTACGCTTATCAGAGGAGTTTGACACGTTAGAGAAAAATCGGTGGAGTAAATAGTCATAAATGGCGACATCAAGAGAAGGTATAAGATATGCTAATACGATTCTAGCACATTGTTTCACTGAATAATCATCCCGAGTGTAAACATTTCAATCGACCGGTGATATCTAGATCTTAACTCGAAGTCGTTTACCGTCGTTTCATTCAATCTAAACCGAAATTAACAATCACGCGCAATAAAATATCATATCAACCGATACTGACATAATACACGACATCTGAAGAAAACATTCTATATCCTGGACAATCCGTTCAACAATTAGTTACATCAACAAAGGTCTTCAGGTGCTTGAAAATACTGCTGACTAGCATGCATGTTGATATGTTGATCGCTTTGCAAGTTGTGAGAATGGCGTCCCTCCGTTCAGCATCTCGTTAAGTCTACGACAACCAGTGCTTAGGAGTTTTAGTAAGTTGAAGGGATGGAAAATAAACTGACTGGAGCTCTACTTTTAGGCTTTGCTATATAAATCGATATCATATTTGAAGGGAACAAAAGGGAACTCGTCGTAGCAGGGGTAAACTTGTCAATTGTTGAACTTTCAATGGGGCGAAACCTCCTTAAACCACAAAGAATCATGGGGGTTAAGCCTGAGGAAGGGTTGTGTATTTGATTTTTCTTGACCTTTCACACTTTTTAAGATCAAAATGACAGCTCAGCAGTCTACAAATTTTATTCTATAATGAGGCCATTATATGTTTTATGCTTATTCACCACACAAGGACAAGGGGAACCTCATTCTATGAAAAATTACGCTGTTACTTCAAGCTCACCACAAACGATTAATTCAACTCAGACAGTGTCTAGCATCTTTTCCTCCTTACAGTCCTGAATCAGAAATTCAGAACTAGAGAATAAAGTAACTGAACACCAACTTAGGAAGCTCTTGACTGTTAAAACAATTGTTTATGTCCGTTCCTTAGGAAATGCATAGAGAACAGTGAGGAGAAAATGCATTCTAATTTTAAGCTGTGAGGAATTAAATAAGATGCTTCAGGGTGGTAATGTGCATAACATGTGCTGGACATCTAAGTGAATTCCGACCTCAATGTTCTTTGGCCAGAGTTTCTTGAGTGCAAAAATACGAGTAAATATATATTCTCTAAAGCTAATTTTTCCTTTATCTTCAAGCAAAGACAAAATGAACGACTTACTAAGCGCGAATGCTCGACACAGACGCTCTTTGGAGTACTTACAAAGACATGTGACGTACTAGAGCAGGGGCGTAGCCAGTAGTTTTCGAGAGGTATCCATAATTATTCGAATCCCTCCCACCCCCAACCCCTAAGTCCCAAATCCTTTTCAGGTGACTTGACTAAAGGCGAGGTTACATTGTGAGCCTAACGTTTTTACTGTCTATGAAATGATGACTAAGTTGTAAAATTTTTTGTCGCCTTTTTCGATGCATTGACTGCAGCACCTTAAAGACAATCGATAATTATATTTAGAAAAAATACATTTAAAAAAACATAAAAAAACAACCGAAGTTAAATGAGTTGAGGCAAACTGCTTTCTTAAAACAATTATCTCTTTTTTGCTTTTTTGTTATTTTTCACTTTTGTATTTTATTTTTTAACTTTCGACCTTTTTAAGTACGCACGTGCGTACCGCGCGTACAAGTAGCTACACCCCTGTAGATTAACGACTCACTTTTTATAATATAAGACTAAGGAGAGGCATTTTCTTCAATCTCAATACAACAAAAGTTTTCTGCTAGAAGTTTACATTCCACCAATTTGTCACACAAGGCATTGTACAAAACTGTGTAAGTGGCTTGGAAGCCTTCTCTTTGTTTCCAAGCCAATAACATACGATAAGCCTTCCTTGCCAACTCCTTATTGTCTTCATCCAAGTTAGTTATTGCAGCGTCGTCGAATTCCAGACAGCTTCCCAATTCCTTCCATTTTTTTCCAAGTTTCAGAGACAGCTCTTCTAACTCGCGATCTGAAGGTTTACCATCCTTAACCATATAGATATCTGAGAATAACAATTGAGGGAGAATTAAAAAATTAGGAAAGGGGTGCTTCAAGGCTTTGGCGAAAAGCGAACAGTTGTAGCGAAAGGCGATTTCTCTTTTGGGTACCATTCAATACCGAATCGTTGGACTTAAAGACTTCACGCCTCGGAGAGGAGACATTTGCACCAGCAGGGGAACCATTTTCCCAACCCATCAAAGAAAAACGCTGAGAAAGTTTTCCGGACTCATTACTTTTTTCTGACCTCTTATTCCGCGTATGGCCCGACAAACATCTTGAAAATGGAGGTCATTAACAACGTCTCCTGGCTAGTCTCCAGCTACTAATGCTGGAAAAGGTGATAGTTGTTCAAGGTACAAGGGTGTTGGATTAGTGAGAGAGCCCAGTTTTAAATCGTTTCTTTTATAATCTTCGCATTATAACGAGGTGTAAAGGATGTCTAATAAACGTAATGCCAGTCTCTCTGTATAAACAAATTTTACCATATATAAACGTGTAACAGCAATATGCAAACTTGATAAAAATACAATAAAAGGAAAATCCATCCCAACATTTTCAATCTCGGTACTACCTACAGCGTTTCCTCTTATCAGAAGCCGCAACAGGGCTGCATAAAGATGATTCTGAATTTGGTTGCTCTACAATTGAATGTCTCACACTTTGGGCGGAAATACCTGCAGAATAATGGGTTTAATGAGATGGCTGGGTTGAGAACTAATGCAAGTTTTATAGTATTGATGGTTCGGAAACGATGATGTGGTGATCCTGGACTGTGATCATCCGGGTAATACCTAGCCTTCACAACTTAGAGTAGTAGGTTTTGTTGATTTCTCTTTTAAGTAACAATAAGCATTGACAAATTTGACGAAGGAGGCTATTGTAAGGAAACATCTCGATCCAAGGTTTCATTTGAAAAGCAGTGGCAGGTTGCAAAGGATTTCTCACTAGTTACTCCATTACTTTAACGATATAGCCAAAGGAATAATGTTTTGGAGAATTACACTTCTTTGTGTCTTTCCCGAGCTTTTTTGCGCTTTACTCGTTTGCAGTATCCAACTCCCTACAAGGACACACGCGCCGTAAACGTATGCATTGAGTTTACTGATACGTAACAGAGATAATAAGCCATCACTCTTGAGCGTGAGGCGGGCACGACCCGATTTATTAATACATGAGGTAAGGCAGGTTAATATGACTTTGCGTTGAAATACGTTTCTTCGTCACTAAGTACTAAATTTTCAAACCCCACAGAGTCTGCATTTCTAAGTTTGCACATTTTAGAACAATGATGACTGGTCTAGTAAATTGTATTTATTCAAAAAACAACGAAACCAACAACAAAAAAACAACAACTTACCACGAAGGATGTGAGTTCCTTCTTCATGATCAAAGGGGACAGGAACCTAAGTGGAGGAGGGAAAATTCGCAATATTACGGATGCATATGAAGTGAATGGAAATGAGGAAATAAATAAAATTACTAAATAATAAGAAAAAGGAAAAATAAATCAGTAAAAAGGCAGAGGCATAAAAATTGACTTCAAGGCAACTGAAAAATAAAAGTAGTACACTTAGTAAAAAACTCGCAAGGTCCTATATGTTACCTATTCGACATTCCTCAGTTTTTTGTTTCCGGTGATTCGTCCTCTATATGGCCCGTGCCGCCTTAAAATAACCTCATTATCTTACTCGGAAACCTTTAGATGGCGAATTTGTAAGACTGTTATCGACTCAGCAGTGCTTATCTAACCTCTCTCTTTCCAGATTACTACTGGTATTTTAAAAAAAAGACTGGATCGAAAGACCGGAAGGCCGGATCCTAGTGTGGCCGCTTTATTTTCTTGAGTATTTGTTGATTCTTTTTTTTTGGCAAAATGAATACAGCAAAGCTTATCCCAGCCATGTTAAATTTCATGTTGAGAGTATAAGAAATATTAGCAAGCAATAATGTTGCTAAAATGGTTTCTTTTCAACACGGTAAGCGGTGAGACAAAAAGCAATGCACTTTGGAAGTAAGGAGAGATATTTTTATTGAGAATTTGAGTGTAGTTTTACTTCCCAAGAGCGGTCGTTATTATTCCCATACAAACTCATATTTTCGCCATAACTCTAATTTCGCATCACGATCATTTCACATCTGGAGCTTGGGCTGCCTTTCGTTACAGGGTTGTTAATCCTTTTAGCTCACTGTCATATACTATAGTAAGGTTGGCATCAGTAATGTGTTAACTCTGGGCTAAAAGTGCATTTAAGTCGCAAATCCACAAATCGTTAAATGTCACCTACTTGAGATGCCAATACCATGGTCACGTTGCACAAAAGTTCCTGACTTTGGTTGTTAAACTTCACTTTTGGAACACTCACACTTCCTAAGCAAACTTCACCACCTGTGTCATAAACTTCGTTCCCGCGGAATCTGTTGAAAATAAAATGAAATTTAAATGAGACAAACCCAACATACACTACACCAGCCGAGTCTTTGTGTAGAAAAGTACACGCTTATAATCGAAAATGACAGCATATTCGACGAGGGCTCCACTAAATCTTTGAAAACGAGCATTTGAAGACGATCACGCCGAAACAAAACCAAAATGTATCACTTCATGGCCCTATTGATTGATAAGAAACCTAGAAAAGCCATAGCGAAAAATAATTAACTAACAATTGAACAATAAACAATTTTACAATGGAAGAAATAAATCATTTCTATGTAAAACTAGCATGACTGTATCTCGAAGTATTCAATTAAATCCTATGTACTTGATGGGGCAAAAATAAATTCTATGATTATACCTCACAAATTGTAAGGCGTTTTTCTCGTCTGAGCCTTGGGGTATGATTGCCTCAGAAAGAGACACCAAAATTTTCTCTTCTTCACAGACTGGTTCATAAGAGGTGCCTTCGCCTATGTAGGGCACGATACACCTTGATATTTGCTGGTTTACATCATGTTGCAGTTTTTGTGGATAGCAGAAAAGTCTGAGTCCAAAATGTCCAGGAACACTAGTCTTACACAGGCACGTAAAAAATCGGGCATACTGAGGCCTCGACCTACGGCGAATTTTTCTTACAAAAGCATTGAAGTCTGAAGCAGATTTTAAACGCGATGTCCTCAACTTGACTGGACGGAATCTATGAAAAAGAAAAAAGAAAAAACCAAATACAGCTCAAGCACTCTAACGGAAATGATTATGGCCATTGCACAGTAACCTTGAGTCTACGTACTCGAGTGATCATTTTAATGATTAATTTATATTTAAATAAAATAAATAGATGCATTTATGACTGTATGCTGTAATACTGTTAAATTCCCTCTAAGTCCTGCGCACTATTTTTCAAATAAAGCCGACAAGAAATACTTACCTAGAGAAATGCCTAACTTTGAATTGCACTTTCCCATCTAGAAGACGTGGCGGTTCATCCAATTGATCTGTAATGTCTTTCCAGTCATGTGGTTCAACCAGTGACTCACAGTGTAATATCCTCAGTTCACCAGGACATAACTCTGCCAACTCTTGTTTTCCTTTACGGAGGGTGAGAGGAATCCTTATGGTTACAGGCGCGATGAGACTAACATTTTGAGTGTCTGATATGTAAAGAACTGGACCGACAAGTCCTTCCTCTCCTTTTAACTCACTGCTTGGAAATTCTTGTACCTTGATTCAAAAGTAAAACAAATTACGTTGGACATGTTAAGCTACCCCCAGCATAAAGTTCATTTACACCCTTTACATAATGAAAAGTGAATTTCAGGATGAAATTCAATTCTCCAATAATAGTATACAATGTAAATGCCCTCTTAAAGTTTGATGTAGCATTAATTTAAGCACTATTATCGAAAAAACTATACATTGAACTTACTATAATATATCTGATTTGTCGAGGGCATTCCATCAATAAACAATAGTGTATAAAGTTAACAGGATAACCCAATATCTGCAGCAGATATCGCAGTTATCATGTTGAGTTCAGCTTGTGCCTAGTTTCCAACGCCCTGAAAACTTAGAGAGAAGTGTCTTTTTTTATCAAACCTTATGTCTGGGTCATCTTCAGCTTTGGTAGATAAGTGAAACCTCGGTTTTGATAATGCAGGACTTCATGCTCAACTTGATCCACTAATTGCAGTAATTGCAAACCAATAAAAACTACATAACCAACTCTTCACAAGAATGATTTCAACTTGAAATTTATATTGTAGCGAAACAAAAACAAATGTTCCGTTGTGAGTTTTTAAGTGAGTTTTCCAAAATCTAATTATTGAAAAGGCGATTGCTAGGATTCATGAGTACATTAGGGGACAGCAAGTGACACAAATAATTCATAGTTACCAAAACTACTGATTAGAACATTACTTCATGTATGTATCTTTATACACATGTAAGCACATACACAGTTCTCCTGTATCCAGCTCAAAGTTGTTAATTGATATCTCTCCATCAATATTGTCACCATGTTTATGGAGTGTATTGGAAGTAACTGAAGGTACAGGCTGTAATCTTATAGCATCTTTATTTCATCTCCTTGCTTTTGACAAACCCCTCTTACCAATCTTTTATGTTACTTTCAAAACTGAAAAAGGTTTTATTCATCCATACATATAATAATATAGTTTCATGTACCTGGATTGTCACACAGAAATCTTGATTAACAGGAACACAACTCTGAGGAATTTGAACACTGACATCAGGAAAGTCAGGCACGATACAGGTCATTTCCGGACCTACCGCAGTACCTCTTGAAAAGGTGAAAGACTTAGGACGCCAGATTGCAGCAAATGAAGAAACTCCTGATTTTGTACAAACAGCTTGTGCAAAGGGGAAAAGCCACCTGGGAACTGTTGACGTTTCTGCATAAAAATAAAATAATGGTTGAAATTACGCTTCAAAGAAGAAAGTTTGCGACAACATGGTGATTAAAAAAATTTTATATTATAGTGACTAAAATGCATTGTAGACTTAATGTAACATTTATGCAACGATGACAAGTACTGCTTGGATGCAACTACAGATGAAACGGAAAAACAATTTGAAAAAAAACCATTGGATTTGTAACGCACATGAAGTGGCAAGAAGTGTATTTTGACATTACGAATGCATTAGGCGACGCATTGCTGGGATCAATATCAGTATCTGAGTCATTGCACACCTACTCCTCCCCTAAGCCAACAACAGCCAACTGATAAGTTCAAGTTACAAGTTCGGATCAATTTTGGGTCAGGAGAGGGGGAGGTTGACAATTGCTCAGATACTGACATTGATGCCAGTGAAGAAGGGAGCCTGAGAATATCATTCATTAAGTTATTCACACTTGCATTTAATAACAACATAACGGTACCTGATCCATGCCAAGTATTCTCTGTCTTCAATTCCTTCCATTCATTGTTCTTTTGGTCAGTCAGTTGCTTGATAACCACCTCATACCCCTCCAAATTAGGGGCACTGTGCAACAAAGCTACAGTAAAACTTAATCCTTCAACACTTTCCCTGTATTCCAGATCTGGTGGGCCATCATGAGATAGTTCAATAACACTGCTAACCAATATCTCATCACTGGCAATGGGTGGGGAGAGGGTCCTGGGGTTCCACAATAAGCATGTACATGTAAATGGCACAGGTTGTTGGACAGCTCCACTATTAAGTTTGATAGAGGCGCCGGCTTCCCTTAGGTGCCATGTGTCTTCCTTACCTCCAAGTTTTCCTCTGAAATACACAGGAAAATTAATCATTCAGTATTTAAAGATAATTTTTCCCAAGTGGAGTAAGCATGGCAAAGGCATTTAAAATGCGAGTCGCAAACTTGCAGTTTGAACGAGTCTTTCAAATAATTGGCACTTAACCTCAAAACTAAATCGAATAACTGTTCTTTTTTTCTAATTTTGTCTCAGTCAGTTATTAAAGTATAAGATACAAAAAAATATTTTGAATTGGCTACTCACAATAGTTAATTGAGATTCCTGCTCTAGTTTAATAAATTACTATACGAACATAATAAGAAATTCTTTAACATATGAACATCCAAAAGGTTGTTCCTAAAAAACCCAATTTACACAAAATTAAAAAATGGTTCTAACAGTATTAAGCCAGTTGTGCTAAGAAATTTTTCCATCAATTTATTTTTCTTTGACTGAAATAGACTCAAATTAGAATCATAAATCAAAACATTTAATTAAATGATTCACTATTATTCCTTATAACGACTAAGTACTACTTCATTGTTGGAAAAACTGAAAATAAAAAAACAAAATACAAGGGAAAGGTAATCAACTGAGTTATTGCGAAAAACATACCTTTTGATCAAAGTATTTTTATTGTCTTCATAGTCTACTGTTGCATCTTTTTTATCCGCCAACTTTTTTCTGCTGGTGTAATAGGGTACCTCATCCTCCTCAATGGCTAGGAAAATTATTTGTTTGAGGTATTTGTTTTCAGCACACAATATAACACACATTTTACTACCACTTAATTCCCTATACCTATTCAATAAAAATTGTTCAACATAGGGCCTTTCCGCACTAGCGGAAAAGTTGTTTACTTAAACAAATTCTGAACAAACAAATCTTGAAATACATCGCCGAAAAAATTTGTCCCGGGTAAAAACTGGACAAAATCGACTTACTAAACAAATCGTGATAAATCTGTCAATCAACCGGTGCAAAAGCTATGACCAGCGTGTAATTGAACTGAAATCAGTTTACCATAGAGGCAAAAATTGTCTTTTGCTGCAAAACTCCAGGATTGTAAAGTTTTAAAACGGCTTTAAAACGGTGACAGAATTCTACAGCTTTGAAATTTTTAATGTGGATGCAACACACAAAACAAAAATTTACCCTTTGATTTTCTCGGGACAACTTTAAGTTTAACAAAGTTCTGATAGGCATTGCAAAGATTATCATATGCCCCTCCTTCTCCAGCTTTGTTCCCCACTTCTTTTGCAATTTTTAGATGACGCTCCTGGTACTCAATTGCCTTTTGAAAATCGCCTAAGCTATCATAGGCATTGCCAAGATTTCTAAAAGCCCGTCCTTCTCCAGCTTTATCCCCCACTTGTTTTGCAATTTGTAGATGACGCTCATGGTACTAGATTGCCTTATGAAAATCGTCTAAGCTATGATAAGCATTGCCAAGATTTCCATAAGCCCGTCCTTCTCCAGCTTTATCCCCCACTTCTTTTGCAATTTTCAGATGACGCTCATGGTACTGGATTGCCCTTTCAAAATCGCCTAAGCTATGATAGGCATTGCCAAGCTTTCCATAAGCCAGTCCTTCTCCAGCTTTATCTCCCACTTCTTTTGCAATTTTCAGATGACGCTCATGGTACTGGGTTTCCCTTTCAAAATCGCCTAAGCTATGATAGGCATTGCCAAGATTTCCATAAGCCCGTCCTTCTCCAGCGTTATCCCCCACTTCTTTTGCAATTTTCAGATGACGCTCATGGTACTGGATTGCCCTTTCAAAATCGCCTAAGCTATGATAGGCATTGCCAAGCTTTCCATAAGCCAGTCCTTCTCCAGCTTTATCTCCCACTTCTTTTGCAATTTTCAGATGACACTCATGGTACTGGGTTTCCCTTTCAAAATCGCCTAAGCTATGATAGGCATTGCCAAGATTTCCATAAGCCCGTCCTTCTCCAGCGTTATCCCCCACTTCTTTTGCAATTTTCAGATGACGCTCATGGTACTGGATTGCCTTATGAAAATCGTCTAAGCTATGATAGGCATTGCCAAGATTTCCATAAGCCCGTCCTTCTCCAGCTTTATCCCCTACTTCTTTTGCAATTTTCAGATGACTCTCATGGTACTGGATTGCCCTTTCAAAATCGCCTAAGCTATGATAGGCATTGCCAAGCTTTCCATAAGCCAGTCCTTCTCCAGCTTTATCTCCCACTTCTTTTGCAATTTTCAGATGACGCTCATGGTACTGGGTTGCCCTTTCAAAATCGCCTAAGCTATGATAGGCATTGCCAAGATTTCCATAAGCCCGTCCTTCTCCAGCGTTATCCCCCACTTCTTTTGCAATTTTCAGATGACGCTCATGGTACTGGATTGCCCTTTCAAAATCGCCTAAGCTATGATAGGCATTGCCAAGCTTTCCATAAGCCAGTCCTTCTCCAGCTTTATCTCCCACTTCTTTTGCAATTTTCAGATGACGCTCATGGTACTGGGTTGCCCACTCAAAATCGCCTAAGCTATGATAGGCATTGCCAAGATTTCCATAAGCCCGTCCTTCTCCAGCGTTATCCCCCACTTCTTTTGCAATTTTCAGATGACGCTCATGGTACTGGGTTGCGCTTTCAAAATCGCCTAAGCTATGATAGGCATTGCCAAGATTTCCATAAGCCCGTCCTTCTCCAGCGTTATCCCCCACTTCTTTTGCAATTTTCAGATGACGCTCATGGTACTGGATTGCCCTTTCAAAATCGCCTAAGCTATGATAGGCATTGCCAAGCTTTCCATAAGCCAGTCCTTCTCCAGCTTTATCTCCCACTTCTTTTGCAATTTTCAGATGACGCTCATGGTACTGGGTTGCCCTTTCAAAATCGCCTAAGCTATGATAGGCATTGCCAAGATTTCCATAAGCCTGTCCTTCTCCAGCGTTATCCCCCACTTCTTTTGCAATTTTCAGATGACGCTCATGGTACTGGGTTGCCCTTTCAAAATCGCCTAAGCTATGATAGGCATTGCCAAGATTTCCATAAGCCAGTCCTTCTCCTGCGGTATCCCCCACTTCTTTTGGTTTGTTGTTGGGCATCAACATTTTCGTACTTTGTAAATTGTCACCTACCCTCCAATATAAAAAAAAAAAAAAGGGAAAAAAAAGAGAAATAACCTGGCAATCGTGAACGCGGAAAAAGTTTCTTTCTTCATAAAGATTCTCATTTGCCTCTAACTTTTTACTTTTAGTGTTATTCAAAATATCCGTACAATCGAATGTAAATAATGATTTTATTTAACAAATGTCTTAACTGATTGGAAACGTAAGAAATGTCTACGTAGCTCGATGGATTGCACTAAGTTTGACCTTCGATGGATTCTATTGCAAATGTTCCGGTCCTTGCCCACAGTTTATTCCTAAACTATGGAAAAAAGGAAATAATCCCTTCAAGATATCCTTCTCTTCAATTTGTTTGAGGCTGCTTTTCACTAACGACGGAGCCAGAGTGGTAAGAGCACTTCTGATCAAGTGAAAACTTGATATTGCAGTCGACTCTAACTCCAACTCCTTTGTCAAATAAAACCAGCCTTTAGGTAATGGAATATTACCGGCGGTTAAGCTTTCTACATGGCAGAATGATATTGAAGTGAAATTTCTTGTTTTTCAAATTACAGATTTCCATTATGCAAACTACAGATTTACAAATTTCCATTTCGAAAATTACAGATTTCGAGTTTATTTCACATGTTACAGATTTCAATTTCGTTAAGTTTCGCAAACTATAGTAAGCCACCGCTACGAATCAGCGATACACAAAACAATGGTTAAATGATGACATCAAAACAACTGAGGCGAGGCTGTGCGCATGCGGACACCGAACTAGGGCTCTGGAAGGTCAGAAAAATGGTAGGTCCGAGCAATCAAACCTTTTAGTACTGGAAATTTTCCCTCGCTTGTTTTGTAATGTCTCTTTCAACATTTCTTTGCAGTCTTTGGCAGAATAAGCTAGTTGGACCTGCTTCATTGCTGCAGCTTTCTTGTTTAAATTGAACAGTTTTGCTTTTGTTTCTTATGCCACCATCACTTAGCTGAATGCCTCTCTCCCGCGAATAATTTTTTACTCTACTAGACTGAATTTCGAGATATTTTCTTTCATTTTCACCACTATGGCACTTAATTTATGGCAAGCCAAACATGACAAAAAGGGTTGAGTTCAGAATTCCCTTTCGAGTTTCAGTGAGAGATAGACGAGATTGCGAAATCACTACGAGAATGAAGAACTTTCACGCTAGATTTTAAATTACCAATTGAGTAAACTGATTGATTGATTAACTGTTGAGAATGAGAAATTTTTGTGTGAAAGAAAGAAATCAATATGCGAGATCATCAACTAGTTTTTCTGAGCCGGTGAGCAACAGCTCGTCAGCAGAGTGTATTTGGCGGGAAATTCTTTCATCCTTGGGGCGTCTTCGTTCGCTTGAGTTGGGCATAGCAATCAGAACAGCAACTGTGTCAACTTCTTAAATAAGTCTGAGTATTATCAGAACAAATGTCTTAGACAACTCGATCAAATGTTAATGGTGAATCATTTCGTGTTTTTGGATGCACATATGGTAGACAATGTAATCCAAGCTGGAGCGTCAATCATGATGTAAGTTCTGCACGTTCTTTGCATCTTACACGAATGACAAACATGAAACGAATTGGTACTTCCAACGGGAAAAGTAGGTCAAGATCACAACTCCATTCTTGTGTGATTTGATATTACTTGCGGCCCAACAGTCAATGTTGTACCGAGGGTAGCATTGCGTGTATATGTCGGTTTTTTAAAGCCATAAACGAAGTACAAGTTGAGACCACCACCATGGAGGCGTTTGGAGAAACAATTCCTCGGCTTGTAGAGACTGTAGACATAAAAATCCTTAAGTCAGTCCATAATAAGCTCGTAAAGCCAACACTTCAACCGGTTCAGGAGGGAATTACGGGGGTTACTTTACATTGCCTTTTCAAAAACAAGCCTGTTAGTGTAAGGCCAAATAAAGTGTTGCTTCCCGATCCACCAAAGGTAAGATTTGAAGTAACTCGACTTGATTTCTTGGGCCGCCTGTGGTCGGAGATTCCAAGGCATGTTGCTAAGCTTCTCCAGTTTATACTAGTCTCATGTAGTTGCTCGTTCATTTTATTTGAAATAATAGATGCCGGTTTTCCTCCTGAACTTGCAGAGAATGCCAACGGAATTTTTTCCTTTGGACAAAGGCTTGATGCATTTACAGTGAGGACACTCGAACCGTGAACACCTAGACTTTTTTCCCGCTTTTTTGTTATCGTCCAATCACAAGCTCACTTCATATCGAGGGGCACACATTTTATATACGTTGACTTTGCTAAGAGTTTGGTAAGGGCTGAAAAAAGCCCTTGTCTTTCCAATTTCATTCCTTATCTCCGGGAATGAAATTGGAAAGACTTTCGTTACAATTTGAAAGCTGGGGTTTCCGTTCGCGAGGGTCTCTTCCCTTCCATTCCCCTGACAAGCTGCTATTAGCAGAAAGAAGAATCTCGGAGGCTGAGCTAAACAACACTAAAACGTAAACTTGTCGTCGACCCCATTTAGAGCCAAAGCAACTGAATATGGCACCATGTGCAAATGTAAGCAGTGCTGACAAATCTTTCTGGCGAGAGTCACCTGAGGCCACAATTAACATTGGCTTAGAAGCTAGCGCGACCGCATCTAAACAAAGCCAGAGATGCCAACCTCTGAAGATCTTAAATCTGAAGATTTTTTTTTGTTCGGACTAG